GCCAAATGTGAATCACATTTGGTCCCGGGTTGAATAATGTCCTAACCGGCGGTAAACGAAGAAAACAATTAAAAATTAGGAGCCGTGAACAGCCAGTCCGTGGATGCGTTAGATAACATCGAGCAGCGTTTAATGACTCGTGCAGGAATCGTATCGTCGAATAAACGAGACAACGTCGTCTCGTTATACCGCACCGATTATACGGCCGATTACCATCACGATTAAGCTTTAATGTCGAATTCGAAGCTATCGAGTAGATCCGTTCGCGCGAATTTTCTTCAAGACCGATCTATCTAGTCGAAGAACACGTCGGAAGAATTTCGCTCTCGACGCCGTCGTCGCGTCCAAGACCGTCCAGGATTCCTCTCAAGGCGACCGTGTGTAGTCGGTTTCAATTGAAATACTCGCGAATGGGTAATCTGCGCAATTACCTCACATGCAAATAAAGCTCGGTGAAGATGAACGGTGACCCGTCCAGCTGACGTCACATTCGCCACGCGACGACATTAGACTAACGTTCCTAAGCTCGGACGCATCCGCTCCTCTCTCGCAACTCAACGAAAACGACGTTTTACGATCGAAGGGAGGGAAAGTTTTTAACGCGATTAGGTTTCAATTCTTCATCCCGAAAAAACAATGAGCTAGCCGAGCTTGACTTTACAAAAATTAATTTTGTTTTGTGGAAAATGATAGTATCTCGTTTGTACTTGATTGTACCGCCAATAGTTTCGTTTGTACCTTCATCAATTGAATAATACAAAAAAATTGTTTAAATGGTCAGCAATCGACGCTAAAATTTTGAAAATCTGTTTTTTCCCTGTTCTTTAGAATCGTTTGTACTCGTTTGTACCGCTTTTCGTTTCGTTTGTACCTCGATAGTTTCAATTTTACAAGCAATTGTTGATACGGTTGTATTGTAAAATTGAAACTATCGAGGTACAAACGAAACGAATAACGGTACAAACGAGTACAAACGATTCTAACGAACAGGGAAAAAACAGATTTTAAGAATCTTGAAAATTAACGATTTC